ATATATATATATATATATATATATATATATATATATATATATATATATATATATATATATATATATATATATATATATATATATATATATATATATATATATATATATATATATATATATATATATATATATATATATATATATATATATATATATATATATATATATATATATATTAATAATAAATTAATTGTTTATCTTAGGTAGGCTATGTGGTATATAGGGGTGTAAACGAGCCGAGCTCGAGCCGAGCTCGCCTCTTTTGGCTGGCTCGAGCTCGAGCTCGAGTATATTTTGTCGAGCTCGAGCTCGCGAGCTCCTCTTTTTTTGGCTCGAGCTCGAGCTCGAGCTCGAGCTCGAGCCCATTGTCTTTTTTTTTTTTTTTTTTTTTTAAATATTTTTTTAATTATTATTTTATTATTAAAAATTATTTAAAAAAATAAAAAATAAAAACTAAATTGTAATTATATATATTTTTAATATTTGTATTTATTTCTATAATATTTTACATTATTATACATTATTTAAATAAAAATAACATATAAAAAATAAAAAAAAATAATAATAAATCCGGCTCGCGAGCCGGCTCGCGAGCTCATGAACAACTGAAAACCGGCTCGAGCTCGGCTCATCAGAAAGCTCGAGCTCGCGAGCTCGAGCTCGAGCTCGAAAATCTCGAGTTCGAGTTCGAGCTTTTTACGAGCCGGCTCTTCGAGCTCACGAGTCGGCTCGGCTCGTTACACCCCTAGTGGTATATATCGTATGAATAAGAGAGTAAGTTATTTTTTGACAAATAATAAAAGAAGTGAATATCTTATCCAAATTATGCAAATCTTAACGGATTGTGTAATAAATGTAATATGATCCTCCTATAATAAACAAGAGCGTTATACGTAATTTTCTTAATAATATATAAATAGGAATCATTTATTTTGTATAACAAAAATAATAATTACTTTCACTTTGCAGTTTACATCCTCAAAAAAAAATATTTAATAGAAGCACAATAAATCATGCATAATGCGCTTCGAATGAATTTTAGAAGTCGGTAATTTAATATTTTTAGTGATATTTTATGATGTCAAATGTTAAATCAATTTTTTTGCACTCATCAACTACAAAGTGAAAAACATTAAAATGCATTTTTGCTTCATTAACATATTTAAAAATTATGTTTGTTATCACATAAAAATATTTAAAGTACAAAATTAAAACATTCTAAATAAGTGTACATTAAGATAAACCGTTTTAGCGAGTTTGGTATTAACGAGTTTTTTTTCGAACGAACTTCTAAAGAGGTCTTATATTTGATTCGTACTGGCCAGTGAACTTATAAATCTCTTTCGGACTTTCAGTCCATACATAAAACTCTCGTTTTTCTTCTGAATGCTTCGTGTTTGAATAATTAAATAAAACTTAGGAAAACCCACTAATTTATTGAAATATATTAAATTGTTTTATATTTTTCAAGGAATATTCAGATTAAAAATACCTAGGATATTAACTTTTTTGTGAATCAAGAATTTTAGTGATATCGTGAAATGGTAGGGGAAGGGGGAAGGGGGGGCCATATATATGTTAACTCGCCATGTGTGCTTATTAAAGCAACACGTGGCACAAAAGAATAGAGTCCCTTCTGCCGTATCAAACGGCGCCGTTTTAAGCTTTTGACTACTGTGCCACGCTCCAGGTGGCGCCCCCACAGTGACCGACATCTCACCCAACACTAGTTCTATGTTGATGAGTTGAATCCAATGAAATGCTGCCACGTTTGCGTGATCGCGCGCGTGCAGTTGACCGCCGTAGTATGCGAAGCTGCTGCTGGTTGGTTGGATAAATGGATTGGGATTGGGGGGTGCATGTGGGCCCTTTGTTGAGCGGATCCAGTCTTGAGTAAAAATCGCAAATGGGCCCCACTTTATCTGTTTCTTCGAGTAACCCAGAATATTCTGTTATTTTTTCATTATTCACATGCGGCCCATTCTTCTATAATATTATATATGTGGCGTGCTAAATCCTACATTCAAATTTACTAAATCCCACACATAAATTAAAAAATATTCTCTCTCTACTTAAATTTTCTCTAACTTCTCTCTAAAATGATTTTATCCAAGTCACCCAAAATTTATTATTTTTTTACGTGAATAATCATAAAAAATGAGTTCCGTTTTATTTAATATTTATTCAATTTCATTACGCATTTTTAATTATTCATATGAATTCGATTTTTTTCCTCAAATTCCAATTTTATTTTAGTTTGAACATGTGAAGATTTTTGTCAAATTCGAACTTGTTGTGATTTTGTGAAAAAAATAGAGAAAAAGAAGGATGGGGAAGGGGAAAAGAAGATTTTAGAGAGAGAAATATTTTTAATTATGTGCATGATTTGGTAAAATTAATGTGGAATTTAGCATTTCAGATTATATATTTATATTATGTTTATCGTATATTATTCTTAACAAAATTAAAGTATAGTTTTAAGGATTTTTTTTTTCTTAGTCAATAAAATTAAAGGACCCTACTAATTTAATGAAAAGATAATATTTAACTAAGGGACTTCAAATTTCAAAGTTAATTTGGGGTAATTACGAATTTTATAACCAACCAAACATCTTACTAACCACTGCTATATATTTAAGTATTGTAATTTAATTATAATGTGGGGTCGAATCATATATTTTCCACCCCCTCTATTTCTCTTCGGCTCTTAATGTTAAATTTTAAATACGAATTTTGCGAAAGTGAACATTTCATTTGATTTATAAAAGAATTTAATATTATTTGATAATATCTAAGATACAAATTTATACATACAGATTGGACCAATTAAATTTTGGACTGACTACAAATATAATTAAACCTCTGCAAATTAATATAGTTCAACTAACAAAATTTTATTAATTCAACAAAATATTAATTATCACATTAATAATTTTGTACATTTTCACTGAAAAAATCGGCACCGAAAGAAATTATTATTTAAAACGAAATTATTAATTTTTAGAGATTATACGAAATATCACAAGCAGTTTCACTTTATAAGGATAACAAAATATTGTCGTTTAATGGTCCCACAAGCAAACGTGGTTGGACTAACTGGATTGGTCATAAATCGTGATCACTAAATAGCGACTTTTGTCCCCACAAAGATGGAGTATCTTTTTGTAGATTGCGATATAAGAAAGGACACGCTTTCAATTCTGTGGGAAATACTTCACATATTGCTAGTGCCCCCAAGATATTTTATAGTTCATTAGAAACCCTTTAATTTTATATATTTGTGTTTTTGGGCCCTCTTGTAAAAGAATAATGCATATTTTGTAATTAAAATCTATAAATATTGTGTTATTATATTAATTAAAAGTTGAAACTGTTTATGTTCTTTTAATTAGATGTATAAATATTTATTTATTTGAATTTTTTTAGGAATAATTGTTGAATTGTTTTTTGAAGATTAATAAAGAGATCATGGGTCCGGCCTAATATTGTTATACGAAATAAACCTAAAGTTCATTTGGTTAAATTTATTTTAAACAACTGATAATGATAAGTTATTTTAGGAGCTGATGAATTATTAAGCTTTATTTTTTGAAATTAATTTTTAAAGTGTTTGGAGAATGTGCTTATAGATTAGTTTTACTCATTATAAAATTTTAAATTAAGATTTTTTTTTTTTTTTAAAGTACCAAATACTTCAAAAGAACTTATAAATTTTTAAACATCGTATAAACTATTTTTAACAGGTTATAAGCTTAGCCGAACATCCTTCTAGTTTTATCAAGTAGACCAAAAAGTCTATTCTTTTGAAAGATTTTTCAGATGTATAGATTATGTGAATTATTCCTTTTTGGAGGCATAAATAATTAACTTTTATGAGAGAGGAAGGGACAATGTCAAAATTGGTCAATGTTGTAATTGAAATTGGAATTGGAACAAATAAAGCAAACAACTTCTATAGTTTATTAATGGAAGCAAAACGGATATACTCTAACTCTAGTTAGTAGTGCCGTACCATACATGCAATTTTAAGAATTCAGAATCTTATTTTAATCTTGAAATGGATAAGTTACGTGACAAGGTTTTATCCAATTCAGTGAGATAAGATTAAGAATATGGTACGAATTCTTCATTCTATAATATATAAATATTGATTTTAATATATATTAGAAAAACCAATTAAATATTTGTTATTTCTGAAACTTAATTTAAAAAATTGGAATATGGTACATCAATGTTGATTTGGATCAAACAAATCTGAGAAATCAATAAGAAGACTAATCCAAAATTAAAATTGCGGATCAGAATCTACGGAATTAGAAAAAATCAATTTCAATTTCCACCCTTGATAGTTAATAATGTTAAGAACTAGGCCTAGTAAGTTGTTTTTTTCACATTCTGATAAATAAAGTTAACCCCGATTCCCACGTAATGTATCTCGTTTCGTCAAGGATAAAAGTAGTGCCGAAAGAACCGAAAAGAAAAGTTGTAATGGATCAAAAGAAGAAAGCAAAGATGATAACATCCTTTTAACAGACCAACAAAATGTTCTGCTTTAGTATTTTATCCGTTTTACGAAACAAAAAATCACTATCGAAAAACCCACAAATTACTCGATTCCAAGAAACGTAAGAATCGCATTACACATGTGATTCAGAGCAAAATGATGGAACATCGAATAATTCCAATAATCGTCATTCGTCGGGCTAATGTACGAGCCCGTTTATAATCTCGAAATGCCTATCTCACAAAGAAACCAAGGAAAGCAGCCGCATACCCAGCCAACTGTAAATCGAAAATAATTATAAAAAAAGAAACATTATACCGAAAAATATTAAATATTTTTTACCCAGAAAAATACCTGAGCTAAAATGCTGTCTCCTGTTTGACCTTCAATGACTAATCCTGCTGTAAGACCAATCATGGCCCATGCACCGTTGATTGCTTCAATTTGACGTCGTTTCTTGGAATTTAAAAAAAAATAATTAAAAAAAATTAGATTGCTCAATAAGCATCGTTCAAAAAATTACGAGGTTTTAATATTGATGGTAACTTACTATGAATTTTTCTTTAGCTTTAATTAATTCCATCTGTTTTGCTGCTAATCTCTTAGCTTCCACGGGATCAACCATAACTACTTCTTTCTTCGGCTTTCGTTTTTCCGAAGATGGAGAAGATGCCTGTATGTATAATTTAACACCCGAATAAAAAGATGCCTTTACTTCATCTGAAAAGTGCAACGATTAAACATACTTGCATAGACTTAACCCGAGATGTGAGTTATTCTGCTCCTTAAGTAACTAAAAAGCCCAGCCGTTAATTTCATGCACATAACCGAAAAAGACAATAATAACCCTCAAATAGTGGCAACACTATCAGTCAATCAGACCTTCATTGGATAATTTCTTAATATTTAGTGGAATAATTAAACAATTGACACCAAAACAAAAAACAACAGGCAACGTTGAATAATGCTCGAGAAATTTAAAAATAATACCAGAAACGAGCATTATGTCCACACGAAATATAAGGGAAAACAATTGTCATAGAGAGATTATAAAAATGAAAATGGGCTCAGAAAGAGCTTTAAATCGTACAAACGAGACTATGAATTAGCCAACCATTTCCGAGCTTTGTGACAGTGAGTCGTTTATGTCAATTGACCTACTACAATATACAGGCATATTAATCTAAGATGCGTTAATATATTTATAACACCATATAATTAGTAAGATCACAAGGACGTTGTGCAAGGAATTAGGTCCAACATATCATCACCGAATCTCGAACGATCGAAGATTGTGGGGTTGAAGAGGTGTGGGCAAAATGGAGAAGAAAGATGAGGGACTGATATGGAAATAAGTTGCAACTTCGAGGACTCGTTCGTAAATGAAAAGTCGTTAAGTTTGGTAAACAATAGCAATTTATAGCCTATATTCAAGAAATCGAGCCTAATTGTGAGACGAACACTCTTGTTTGCATCGCAACTAATCACATATAGGAGAAAAATGAGGGAGAGATGTGGTAATATATTGCAACTTCAGGGACTCGTTTGTAAATGAAAAGTTGTTAAGTTTGGTCTACGATAGCAAATAGCCTATATTCAAGAAATCGAGCCTAATAGTGAGACGAACACATATGCTTGTTTGCATCACTACTAATCACATACTTAAAAAAACAGGTTCAAACCAATATATACATGCCTTGTGTGGTGCATACATTTGGATTTGCCAATACTCTGATTTCTTGATTCCTTGTTCTTCGAGGAAATAATCTCGATTCTCGCTCTCGTTGCAATCCCCACCTGGAAAATTGAGGTAGCCGCTAAATACTGTGAGAAATATATTTCGGATAAATAAACGAAAAAAGAAAGAAAGATAAATTTCAGGCCTAATTAGTGATTAATATCTTCAGCACAATGCAATTTGGAAACTAAAATTCACGTCAATTAATCATCATAAACATGAATAAAGAGGAATTGAACACTAATTTGGCTAAAATTACAACATCATATACTGCCATATGCTACAACGGTCAATTTCGGACATATATAAAATTTCCCCAATCTGAAAAATGAAAACCTAATTTCCCAATTCAAGCAAAAAAGAACAAATTCAGAACAAAGCTAATTAGGGCTTTCGAGAACTTACTTGAATCCGGCAGGAGAATTGAAATTAGAGGAGTGCGATTGTCGTGAAGGCAAAAGGGCGCCTCCATTCACAATGGGCAGTGTCAAAGAAGACAACATTTTTCTTCACTATTTTTCAAGATCTTCTCTCTCTCCTCTCTCTCTCTATCTCTCTCTGTGTCAGTGTGTGAAGAGTTTATAGTGGTTCTTCAATGGCGGAAAGGATTTGCGATGATGGAGTTTTCTCGTCCACTAAACAGTTGGGTGTCCTGCGCCATTGATTTTGGGTTTAAGTTTATTGCATTCCGCACCCCTTTATTTTCCTTAATTACTAAAAAAACTCTCCATGATGTTTTATTAACAAAAACCCCACTGTGATTTTTTTTTTGGCGTAAATTACACCTACACCCCTGATTTATATTAAAATAACTTTAATGTCCTTGTGGTGTTGGTAATTACAACCACACGCCTAAAACAATTACTGGAGCCAAGAGTTAATATCCTGGGGACCGATATGCAGTTTATTTGTTTCTCGCGGGAACATTAATGCTACCATAGACGAAAATTTATAAATCTTATATAAAATGATAAGGATTTAAGAAATGTTAGGAGAACCATGTCATCTCCTAGCTCTATGTTCTCTCCACCACTGTCTGCAACTAATAGTTCGTCAGAACCCTAACGGATAACTTATCCAATGCATTATTCTGTTATGATTTTTAACAATATTTCAGGGATTGATTGTAATTATTGATACCATAGGGACCTAAAAGTTATTTTAGCATAAATTAGGGGTGTATATATAATTTACATTTACCCTTTGTTTTAGCAAACTACCTCTAAAAGTAAAAACGCACTCCACTAAGGAGTTGTGTGGCAAACAAACATTATAAAGGGAAATTTTGCTAATACTCATAACACGAAGGGTTTTTGTTAGTAATTTAATATAACATGAGGGTACTAAATGCAATAAATCCTTTTGTGTTTCTATCCTGTAGGCTGTATGAGTAGACCATGAAACTGGATGGCAGCTCTTTGTACCCTTTGATCATAACCGTTGGTTGTTTCTGTTGAGTACTTTGATTTGATTTGAAGATTCATTTGGTTGACCCAAAAAATACTTTGATAAAAATTATTCCGGCAACCAATTACTTATCTTACAAACCAAACGAGACCTTACACTATGCGCAGAAGCAAGAACAAACCAAACACAAAAACACACTTCAAATCTAAGCCATCTCATTGCCCAACTGTGCATTAGTCGGCAGTTTACTGTAATCAACACCCCGACGCAACTCGATCTCCTCACCATTCTCGACTCTACACCGCAAGTACAAAACCGTATACACGACATCCGTTAAAATCTTCCCCAAACAAGAAACACCCACCACAAAAACCATCTTATTACAACCCCAAAAAACAATCGAACACACAACATTAAAACCAACATTAATCAAGAAACCATCCAACTTCTTCCCACTAACCAATTTTTCACCTCTCCCCAAAGCCTCCAAACCGAAGCAACCCTCTTCCAAAACTGAAACCACAATCGCCATTGCCCACGAAACAAACAAGTACGAGTACAAAAATAACGCAAAAACCGCGACCAAAGTTGCCAAACAATAGGTTATAATACTAGGATACAATAGTAGAGGGGCGGCCCACGTAAAAACGAATAAAGCGTAGCCCGTTGCAAGAGCCGATACGTATAGAACAGTTACCATAGGCCCTTTCCATATATTCAAGATTATCGAGAAAACTTCGTTTAGAGACGATTTCTTGGAGCTATACGAAATGGAAGATACTAGAATGGTTGAGATGGAAGAGAAGAAGAAGATTATGAAAAGGACGAAAAGAAAAGGAATTTGAACTGCGAATATAAGAGCGGAATATTCTCTCACAAGGCTAATAATTTTGTAGGCGAGGAAGGCTGCAGTTTCGGGTGTAATATTGTTCGGATCGGCCGTGTTGAAAGAAGTGAGATCGGGCATGACCTTTTTCATGATCTTATTAGCATTATCATTAATCACAAATTCCATCGAGTAATTGAATAACAAGAATATAGTAGAAGAAAGAGCTAGTGAATATAGAGCTATGAAGGCCATGAGTTTCCCGTTTTTCGGGAGGAGTTTGATCGATTCATTTAGGATCGACAGTAAACTAGTAAA